TTACTTCAAATTCAGACTGAAATATGATATTTTCTAATAGATTTTTAAAAAGTTACTATCTTTTTGCATTATTAGATGATTTTTGGGGTTTTTTGACTGTCATCTTTGTTGAGGCATTGCTCAGTTCTGCTTAATCAAAGCATTTTTGAGGGGGTCATTCCTCTTAGAAAAAATATACAAAATCCTTCGAGGCTCTTCAATGAAGGTGGGTTTTGTCTATTTTGGTTGGTGGCCTTAACTTACTGTCCTATTTTAATATCTAATCCCTGAGGAAACATCACGGTAACTGTGATCCTGGGCACTCTGTGCCTAATAGCTAGAGTGTAAAAATCATGTTGAGAGTGTAGAGTAAAATCTATGTAATCTACCTTATACAAAGCTACCTTTCACAAGCACACTTTTGTGCTCTGCATTGCTATGAGGGTAAAAATTCAAGGGGAAAATCGAATGCACTTTGTGTTCAGTGGAGGAAAAGCTTCTTGCTAGTATCAGTCCTGCCCTCTCACTAATTCTGCTCCCCAACTCTTTTCTGTTCAAGGAATCTTCCTTCCTCCACCTTTCTATATTTTCTGATCTCCCTCCTCCCTACCTGAATATCCTACTTGGGCAGCAGCAGGAAGAAGTCCCAGCTCATGCATGTGTGCTCCTGATGAAGCACCATGTTCCAGTGTCGGCATCTGTGCTGCAGGTTTATGATCGCGGCATCGATCGGTGTCTCAATTTAAATGATTTATCTTTGCTCTTGGCTTGCTGCAAGCTTTTCCATGAGCTACAAGGAAAACTGATTTTATATATGTGGTTTTTAACAAGTTACTCAGCTTGTTATTCATGTTATCTGAAGGAAATGGGAGCAGTACTGAGAAGCAGAGTGGTGGGTACCAAGGAGCTGCCCAGTTAGACTGCCTTGGTGGGGGTGGCTGAAGATTGTTGCTCCCTCTTCCCTGCAGCAGCTGAGCCACACCTGGATCCAAGGTATACGAACAGGCTGATGAGAATTAGTCCGTTTGGAAGGATGTGTTGCTACAAGTTTTAGCAAGGATAAGGTTTGAGGTATTTTCAAGTCTATAATTGAATTAAATCCCCAGTGATGAATCCATTTTTGGGATACCAAAATAAGTATCTTTTTCTCATATAATCAATCCTAGGATGATAATTACTTTTTCATCCATTCCAGGCAATTTACTTCTGTGATTGTCATCAAATAGATGCTCTATGGTCAATATATTTTGCATATCACACATTTAGCTGCAGTTGCACCTATTTTTTTTTATTTATTAAAAACTATGGTTCAGTTTTCCTTTTTATTTGAACTCTGAAACCTCTTTTTTTTCTTTTGTAATTAAGAAGTACGTTGTTGAGACTAACCTGGAGTTACATAAATCAATAATGCTGCACAGAAAAAGAGAACAAATTGTGCCTCTTATTTGCATAATGGACAAGATCTAAAATGAATTCCTCAGGTTAATGAGTGTCCTTCGGGTTGTTTGTGAGGATATACAGCCTTCTGTGACACCAGTGTGTTGCTGATTGAAAAGTAATGCTCAGAGTCAAAGAAAAGAGCTGAAAAAATCAGGAGCAAGCTGGATGGGGGACTCCAGCATGAGCTTTTAGCTTTAGTGCATTGATTTTTGGCTGCCTGCATTGAGCTCCAGCACAAGCTGAGGATACAAATTCAGATTTACCCTTGCTTTGAGGTTCAAACTCAGTCTAATCTCAGCTGGGGTTTTGGCTGAAACGCAGCTGAGTCCCCAAGTTTCTGTCACGCTGACATGAGGTTATCTTCATCTTTCTCAGAAAGAGAACAGTGCTCCCAGAGGGAAGGAAACGTGAACACCCTGTGCAAGAGGTTATGCAGCTCTGTTAACTTAGAGTCTGAATCTTAGATGAGACAGTCACGGGGCCAAAAATTGCTAGAAGCAGGCAGTTAGAACAACATTAAAATATCTAATATTTCCTATTCTGTTTCTGCTCCATTACCTTTATCCTCTTATTCCAGGCATTTAGCTTCCTCTTGCTCTTATTAACTTGCTGTGAAATGGTAACATGGCTGGAGGAGCAGAGGTCACTGCCACAGGTGGCCATTCCTGCATGGAGAGGAAAAAGGAGAGGAGGAACCTCGATTTGGCTGGAGTGCAGAGTGGTAGCAGCTCTGCAAATGGAATTGCTTTTGGAAGCTTGTAGCGTGACTGCAGTTGGATATGTATTTATGGAGATGGTAAGAGGTAGATTGAAGGCAGAAGGGAAGGCCAGCTACCTCCACACCCAGTGTAAAATTTCCCATCAGGAAGCTGGTGTTACTCAAAGTTCAATTGAGGACACATAAAACAAATGTTTTGTTCTTAAGCTTTATCCTTGATAATAAATTACAGTAACTAACTGAATTTTACCTTAACTATGCACCATGGAAAGGTCATAAACTACTGAAGAAGGGCTTCTAATACAAAAATTAAATGATCTATTAGTACATTTCACCCAATTTTGACAAATCAAACACAGCACTATGACTCTGTTTAATATGCATCTTCAGTATTGCAGCATAAGAGATGAGCTCATTTAGAGGGTTGCTCTGAAGGAGGGAAAGTTCAATGGTCAAGTCAAGTAGTTTTCCAGTTTACAGTACAGTGACTTGTGGAGACAGACCAGTCTTGCTTCCTTGTTATCCAAGGATCTAATTGGAAAGGCATCTGTTTACAGTACAGTTGCTGCAATCTGTGAGGTTCTTATCACTGGTGCTCTGATACCACCTCTCTCACCAGTGCAGTGTGTCTGGGAGTTCAAAAGCAGACAGGCTTTTTCATCTGCTGGAACATTATTATGTTCATCGAGGCTTGGCATACCAAGAGCTCCATGTTTGAGGACAGATACTGGGAAGTTAGCTGACCATATGGGCTGAAAAAATTGGCTTGATTCATGTGCAAAATCAGAATTTGGATTTTCTGTGCATCACTGCCTTCTGTATAGGCCATTGGACTGGGCACATAGGGTGAGACCTGGTAAGATGGCACAAGGGAGCAGCAGGTTCCTCCAAACTGAGCAAGTGGAGCGGAACCAGCCCATCAGGTCCTGATGCAGGAGGCAGAGCTGCAGTGGAGTGGAGAGCGTGGACCTTGTGGGTTACCCAGTCAAGCCCTGGGGCACAAGAGGAGGAGTCACTTCCATCATTGCCCTGCAGTCTTCTGAGGCCAGCTCTGCTCTCCCAAACTTCCCACGGGAGGCACAGCTCTTCCTACCTGCTGTGACTCTTTCTGAGCCATTCAGCATGGAAAGGTTGTAAATGGCCGATGAAGAGCTTCTAATGGCTATTTGGAGGATAATGATTAAGGAACACTTTAGGAAATAAATCTGGTCTTTATTTCTGGTCTCTTTATTTCATCTTAGAGCAAGGAAAAGGCTGCACAGGAAGCTTTTGAAAGAAATGACACATTAAAGGAAAGCATTTTGTGCTTGAATAAAAACCAGCATAACTAAGTAACATCTACATGATCGTATTGGACACTGGTCTTTAGATCTGAGTCTGCAACCCTAAGACTAATCTATATGAAAAACATACTCTGTTTTCTCCACAGATGTATCACTTCTCAGATGACAAATCCTAAAGTGGGAAAGGTAATGAGATGCAATTCCAGCATTACATAATATTTTGTATTTACAGAAATCTTAACTTTTTTTTTTTTTTTTAACTGAGGTTACCTGACTTTTTTAAACAACTGAATAGCTTACGTATTTTTTTACTCTTGATGGATATAGATTAAATGTGATACATGCTTTTCAAAACAATAGCAGGTTTTAATTAATTTTGATTGAGGACATGCAATTCTGTAAATAATTACTGTAATTTCATGTCATACTTTTGTGGTTTGTTACCTCAGAGAGGAAGTAGAAAGATTATGTCTTCATTTGGCCTTCACAATTATTTCCTGCCCTTTCTTTTGTGTCACCATAATGCTGTAGGACAGTTTTCCTGCTGCCATTTCTTGTAGTGAAGTGAAGATAAAAAGTAGTCAGTGAAGATAAAAAGCATTGTTATGCTAATGGTCCTTTCACCATAAGATTACAGTTGTGAATGATGCCCTTCTGCTACCTCCTTAGACCAAGTGCTGCTTCCCCTTCTGTCCATCTAACTTGCCCTTAGCTATTTCTAAGGGGAACAGTATGATAATTATTCACTGTATTAATTTTCATAAACCCCTGGATTATCAAAAGAAACATGATTGGTCCCTTTTCTTTAAATGGCAAAAATTCTCATAAGATGATATGTAAATGAAATTGCTGTCAAAACCCCCTTGTTAATTGTGTCAAAAATCACTTCAGAGTGATAAGATGAGGAAATGATGCCTGCCATGAACCTTAAATCACAGAGAATGTCTACCTAAGTAGGTAACTTGGGGTGTCAAATTTGTTTTAGTCTTTAACCTCCTGTAGAACGGCCTGTTTGTTACCAGAGTTTGTGACCTTAGAACCAGAATTACTTACAAATGCAGATCCTTCTTTTGCAATACCTGGGATCCAGCCTCTCTCCCATTTATCTCCTAAGGAGCTTTGTGCATTGTCCCTTGTGGGGTGGCTGGGATCTGGGGAGGATGGACAGGGTGTTTCCACAGGAAGAGCTGGTAGATGTGTTGCTGCACAGGCAGCTTTGGGAATGGGAAGGCTACAGTGTGTGAGGATTGGGAATTCAGTGGGGAATGTGGTCTTGGAGAAACCTAAGATGGGTGTTTGGTTCCAAAGGTTGCTGTCTTGCAGCACTCTGGCCTATGGAGGGCTGGGGGCTATCGGCTTCATGCTTTGTTCAGTCAGTCTGAACACTAAATGTGTCTGAAAGACAACTAGATTCTGAGAACACATTCAAGTAAGATGTATATGTTATGGGTAGAAATTTCCACCTGTGCTTTTGAGTTATTGAGTTTATTATTTGTATCCAATGAAGTCTTCAGGTGTGTCAGGGGAGGAATTACTGGCTTGAAAAAGAAGAACTGAACAAATCTTTTCTCTGTTTCAGTGACAAAACTCAAATGAAAACCAAACCACTCCATCTCAAGCCAAAGAAAAAACTGCACAAACAAACCCAAGCAAACACCAAAAAAAGGTATAAACCAATCCTGCTCCTCCTGCCTCATCTTCCATCCTGTGTCTTAGTTTCTTGTCCTGATGACAGTATTTCTGCCTGCTTGAAGTAGCACTGAATGCTTTGTCATTTAGTGAGTAATCCTGGACCAAATCTTAGGCTGTGTTCAGGAAATGGACCACACAGGTGTCAAGTGAACCAGGGTGCCCTTTTCTGGACATCATGCAATTCCTACCTGGTTGGGAAAGGGGACTTGCTATACTGAGAGTCACCATTTATACCTAGGTAGTTTATGAGGTCTAGTCTGTTCTTCTATAGAGGCAGAATATATATTAGTATTAGATAAGCATTTTCTCATATGTAGACAATATTTGTTTATTTAATCTACTGTACATACAAACAGTTATATTTCCTGCGTTTGTTTTGTAATTTTTTATGTGGCCTTTTTTTTTTTGCTGTGTAACAGCCTACTTCAAACTATGTTGCATCTTGCCTATGATCTATACAGCTAAGAATTATGGAAAAATTCCCAGGGATTTGTAGACTTCTGAAAACTGAATTCTACTGTAGAAACTTAGTGAATTATATTGCCCCAGTGATTGTGATTTTGAGAGTTTGTAAGCCTTCATTCTACAGAGGGGGGGAAAAAATGACACATGAAGTAAGGAGAAACTGTGCAAGCTGAAGCCAGCAGAGCTGCTGTGCTTTACCTATAGTTCTTCAAAAGGTGTTTGATCCTTAGATAAAACACTTGCTAATACTTTCAAGATTTCAACATAACATCTTTAAAGATTTGTCTCTTTTCCTACAGTAAAAACCCAATAATATGTCATAATTTTACTTAAGTGTTAAACTTCTTTCAATATCTGGAGCTAAGTATTCACCCTAGGCATTCAATAACAACAATGTAACACAGAAATCGGGAATCAGGGAGTAAGAGGAAGAAATAAGGCTAAAGGAAAATGGGATGGAGGCTTAGCATCGTTTCAGGGATTGCATTTAACTCTCTGACTCTCTGCTAGCAACATGAAAAAGATAATCTTTTTATGTCATTGATAGGCAAATTATGGGGAATGTGGAATGCAGGGCACAGAAACTAATTAGAAAAAGAATTAAAAGATGCAAATGTCATTTTAGATATAAGATCATATTATTGGATAAACTAAGGTTCTGAAAAAACCTTATTCTCTCTTTTTCTTTCTTTTCTTTTAATTTTTTTTTCTTTTTTAATCAGTTTGCAGGAAATGGAGCAAAGCAGAGCAAACAGAAAAGAGTGGCAGGGTGTTAATTGAGACCTGATAATTAAAGTGAAGCACAGTCAAGGAACAGATATTCTTCCAGCTTTCAGTATGAAAATGATGATAGGTGGCACCTATGGATGCTCAGTGCTGTTTTGGTAACCCTGGGAAGCTGCAGTGAGAGCCTCGGTGACACACAAGTCTGTGCCTGACAAACATTAGCAGGTGGGGAGCTTCATAAAACTGATTTTTAACTGATCTTCTTTTTCCATCTCTGCCTTGGTGTCTGGGCTGTTGATGGGTATGAAATGGAAAGGATGTACTCCCTCAGTGACAAAAGCGTGGGTGAGCAGGCGGTGGTTCAGGGTAATGGCAACAGTGCCTTGTGCCAGTCACAGCTGAGTGCTGAGAGATTAAATAGATTAAATCAAAATAAACGTAAGCTAATTGAATTTGGTGATATAGGAGATGAAATCAGAGCAGTACAAATTTAGGCTCAAGATGGGGATTACTATTTTACTTTTTGTCAGCTCTCTCTGTATTGCAAGCGTCAGGAGCTCTTTCAGTCAGAAATGAAAATAAATCAAAGAACACACACTGAAAGACAAAAACCCACTTTCCTGTTTTGTTTTTAGAACAAAGTAGTTTTGCAAAAACTTTGCAATATTTTAGAAAAATAATACTTTGAGACAACTTATACTGAACTGAAGTTGCTTAGGATCTTCTTTATTTTTTTGTTCTAAGCAAGATGACCTGCAGTTTGAGTGTCTCACTGGCTGTTATCCTGATGGAAGGTGGTAAGTCTCTCTTATCAAGTTAAAGTGTTCAGACGAGAAATGAAGTTTGAGACAACACAACTGTGGTTAATTCTCTAGATTCTCCCCCTCACTCCACCTTACCTCCACCTCTTCAAATACATGTGTTTCATGGAAGAACCTAAATTTGGGAACTGGTGAGTTTATAACCATACAGCAACATGGACGACTAAACTTAAGGGATAGTACGGAAAATAAAATCAACAGGAAAGTCCAAAGAGCATAATGGGAAGAAGGGAAGTTTTAAAATAATCAAAGCAAGTTGAAAGCAAAGCTGTAGGTGTGTGTTGTGTTTTTCTGGGCCTTGTGTTTAAGAGAACTGTGAACCTGAAGCAGAGGATGAAGGGTTGGATTTGAATATGAATGTCTGGCAGAGTCTTAGCAGCATGAAACGGATAATTTTAGCAGCAGCTTTTGAATAGACTGGATGGGTACAAGCTGAGATGTAAGTAGGCTAGACAGGCTATAGCTAAGATCAAGGATGAGGCAGGGGAAAAAAACATGAAAGGCAGGTGAAATTCACCTGCATGCAAAAGTCTTGAAGAAGCATGTGTGACTTTCAGAAATACCCACATCCTGTTTTTTTAATTTTATTGGAATACTAGGTTTTTGGGTGGCAGACAGAAATCTCCCTTAGGCAGTCAGGCTATATTTTATGGTATATATTTACATGTGTGTGCACTGAGGGTCTGGTGAGGATCTGAAATAGAGAAGGTTGTCAGGATGTGAGTTCTATTGAGATATCTCACCAGATGAAGGAAGGGGATTTGTAGTAAAGATGAACTTTAGTATGTGGAGTCAGAGGTTGTGGCAGGATACCCAAGAAAAGAGGAAAATATACACAACATTGTCTAGGTGCAATGACAGACGTAAAGCAAAGATTTTGAAACTCTTTTTCAGATCTTATCCCTGCTTGTGCAGTAGAAGTAAAATGTCAAGACAAATACAACGATTAGTGAACAAATGAAAACAATAAGAAAAATGCCTAGCACTTTTTCATCTTCTTTGTAACAAATGCTTTTTAAATTCCACAGTGATGAATTATTTTAGAAGAAAATACCATACAATGAAAGTTTGGCAGGCTTAGCTTAACACTGAAAAGGGGAGTGCACCATAAAAGACTTAAAAAATGTTTCCAGCCAAACCATTTGGCAGATGAAATATTTTTCTCTATGGCTTCAAAATTTTCTGTCAGAGGCACTTCACTTTTCTTGCTACATGGAAATTTTTACTATCTTTGATTTGAAAACAAGCAAACAAAACCCTTTCACTTATTCACTTCCAGGTCTTACCTTCATTGTATGACATTTAAAAATCTGACACTGTCTTCAGCAGAAACAGGAGTGAACTGTTTTCAACTTCAGCTGGAACATTTACACATTTAATAGTTGATATAGCTATTTCCAGATGTCATAGAATGATTTTCATATTTATTAACAAAGTAACCAATGGCAATGTCGTGTGGGTTTTTTTGTTTGTTTGTTTTTGGTTTTGGTTGTGGACACTCAACCAAATTGATCAGAAAGGAGAGAGGCTGAGCTCATTTGTATTGTAGTGCAATGAAATTAACATTACTGGCTTAGGACTGTGTTCTGTGTATTTAAGTGCATTTCCTGTAAACATCAGTGACCACAATAGGTTCTTTTTCTCAACTCTTCAGTATTCCAGCCAATTTTACTTTTTTTTTTTTTTTAAATTTTAATTAAGCTCTTTGAAATGGTAATATATTAAGAGTGTTCCTCTACCTTGTAATATTGCTTTATTGACTCTTATGTCCTGACACTCACCACATGTTTATGGTCTCATAAAATGGTTTGGGGTGGAAGGGACCTTAAAGATCATCTTAGCTTCAACTCCCCTGCCATGGACAGAGACACCTTCCACTAGACCAGGTTGCTCAGAGCCCCATCCAACCTGGCTTTGAACACTTCCAAGGGGTGAGGCATCCACAACTCCTCTGGGCAACCTGTTCCAGTGCCTCACCACCTTCACGGTAAACAATATTGTCCTAATATCTAGCACAAGCCTACTCTGTTTCAGTTTGAATCCATTCCCCTTTGTCCTAGCCCTACAAACCCTTGTAAATAGTCCCTCCTGTCAGCCACCTTCAGGTACTGGAAGGTGCTATAAGGTCTCTTCAGAGCCTTCTCTGAAGGCTGAGCAGCCCAGCTCTTTCCATCTGTTGTTGTAGGAGGGGGCTCCAGCACTCTGTTCATCTTTGTGGCCTCCTCTGGACTTGCTCTGTCAGGTCCACGTCCTTCTCTCCTTTTGGGACCCCAGAGCTGGATGCAGCACTTAAGGTGGGGGTCTCACAGGGGTAGAGTAGAGGGACAGAATCCCCTCTCTTGTTGCTGGACACACTGGTTGGGATGTAACCCAGGACACGGTTGGGTTTCTGGGCTGCAAACACACATTGCTGGGTCATGTCCAGCATCTCGACCCTCAGGGTTCATCTCCTCCTCTTCAGGGAGAAATGTCAAATGCAACAAATTTCAAATAAATTGTGGCCACATATTTCATTTCAAAATTTAGATATGCTTTCAGTATAAAGCAAGATGAATGGGAAGATTATTTAGAATCAGCAGTCTGATTAGAACATATCTCCAAGGGATACACTTGGAACTCAGAAATAGTGTTATGTCTCTCCCCACTACAAATGATAAGATCTGGTCTGAAATTTCTAAATAAAATTAAATTTCAGTAAATAACCAGGGAACAGAAAATGAGTCTAACTTGCAGCTTCCCTCCCCCATTGTTTTTCAAACAGCACAAATAAATTTTTCATTCAGAATTTTGATGCTTGTTAGGATCAGAAATTTGGAGAGCTTTCACTGATGAACAAACATGTGAGCTATTTCAAAATCTGGAAGTCTGTTTGTAAGTTCTGTAAATAGGAACAATTGGATGCTGAGCTGTAATAAAAATCTGGCCTGGATTTTATGTGCCAAGTACTTAAGAATCTTTCCCCGAAAATGTAAAAATATATCAGAGAAAAAAATTTTTTTAAATGTGTCGAGAGACTTCTCCCCATTCATATTTCTGTTGTCTTCGAGACTACTGCATCCAAAAACACAAGCAAGGCAAATCACCATTTCTTGAAATGTGTTTTTATGTGGCATAGTCTGATGGGGTACTGTCATGTCCTACAATCAACTAGTAATGGAACTTCCAAAATCTCAGCTCTTCTCAAATGGCTATAAAAATATATTAAAAAAAATTTAAACTTAACATCACAGCCTTGGAATGCAAAGATATCATATATAGATTCAAGCTGGAGATATCTTTATGGTTGAGATGGCTACTAATTCCTGGTTTGTACTAGGAAACAATTAATTTTCTTATGCTCTTTCTATTATTCTCATTAGAAAATATTTAGCTAGAGAAAATATATGTTCGTGTTCTTTTTTTGTGGTGTTCACAAAAATAAAATATGATAATTTCTTTCATGATATTTCTATTAAGAAGTCTTTTGGTCTTGTATGCTATGCCTCAGGTATATTCTTGTTTTATCCCATGGGAACAGATGGGTTTTTTAATTTATCTAATTTTTTTAATGTGCAGCTTCTGATTTGTCTGTGTGTTTTTAAAAAAATGAAGTGGACTTTGTGTGGACTTCTGCATAGTTTTACTTTTAGCTTGGAATACATGAGTGAAAACTGGAAGTGTAAGATGCTCTTTTTTGTTGAGTGCAAGTATTGAGATCTCTGTCTTCCAGTGAGAAAGTTCTGTGTATTAGGGATTTGTGTCTGTATGTACACTCTTGTTTCTCAGTAAGAAGACAGAAAAAGTTTTACTACTCAGAGGCGAAGGCCTCATCCTTCTTCTGATCACAGTTTAATCCAAAGGGTTTCAGGAGTTAAACATGTATTAACTACGTTTTTATTTTGTTTGTTAAAATATTTGGATGATCTGTTTACTGTGAGGGAACTAAGAAGTATCACCACTTTTAGATCTTTTGGTACAAAAGAGAAAAATATAAAAAGAAGGAAGTAGGGGGGAATAGAGGTGGAATTAGAGCCACTCTTTACTAGAGTTTATTTGATCCCATCTATCTTCCTTTCAAAAAATGCTTGTGTGCAGATGTCAGGACAGTAAGTCTCATACTAGTCACATCTGATAATTCCCCATATTTGGCTTCAGAGTCTATCAAATGTCCTTGACAGCCTTTAGAAACTTTAAATAATTGTGAAGGAAAATTGAACCACCACTCACTAACGTGAAATAAGAATGCTTCATTTTTGATGCACATTGGCCTATAGGTTTTGGAACCATGTCTTTTAAATCGGCTCTGTTTGACTTATGGAGATATTCAACTGACTAAGAAAAATTCATACCACAGCCTAGAAAAAAAATTTTCCTATTACACTCTTTGTTTGGCAATTAGCCTTCATAGATTTTAGTAGCAGGAAGGTCATTCATGCAGCCTAGTTTAGGTTTCACATACTTGTCATGTTTAGACAGCAAGGTTTAAGTTATTACAGAGATGGGCAGTAGTATAAATCTTCTGGTAGTGACCTACTCTGGTATATACTATGTATACTATATATATTTGCATTGTAATAACTCCTTTATTATTATCTGTGGAAATGAAAATTAAATCAGCATGATAGCTGTATTAAAAAAAAAAACCAAACCAAAACCCAAGATTACTTCCTTCAAGGGTCTTTCATCACTTTTTTAATAGCTGAGATACTACACAAGATGTGGATACTGTGTGTGGGGAAACAAAGAATATTTCGTCTCTTACTGGAATCTTCTTGACTTGGGTAACTGCAAAACTGAACAGGAGCTTTGGACCTGTATTGTTTGATGCTATTTCCCTAAAGTTTGTGGCTGTCCAACTTTTTTGTGAAACGAAAGTCAGGAAATCTGACTGAATGCATTGTTAACTTTTAGGAACTTATATTTTACTTCTACAGAAGCACTATGACATTTTGATCTTGAAGTATCCTTGGCATTAAACTGGGGCAAAAAAAGAAGGAACAAGAAACGAACATAAAGGGTGACTGTGATTTAAAGATTTCCCTGGAGAAGATGAGCAAGGTACTATCTGGGCTGCCAGAAGCTGAAATCGGAAGAATGACTGACTGTTTTTAGGATGTTGAGTATGATTTAATTCCATCATCATCATCCAGATGTAAAATATGCTGACAGGCCTTGAGCTACCATTGGCAGGATCAAAGGGCACTGGGATGATAGTGTAGTTAGCTGGCACAACAAGAGCACCTTGGATAACTAGCCATGTTACTAGTTTAGTGCATTAATTTGTGTGAAAAATTAGTGTTGGCATTAATTAATATATTTTTAATTTTTTTTTAATTATTTTTTAAGTCTGGCTTTCTACTAGAGTGCTGTTTTTAGTATTGTATATTAGGGTTGCTCTTTTTGTTAATGTGTATTTTAGGGTCACATTCTGTCGTATAACCATCCAGATGGGTGGAACTACAGGCAGAATTATTTGGCTTTTAATGCATAAATGAAAGACTACCAGAAAAATTACTGAGCTCATAATACGATTCTCAATTCTTAAATACCCAGGAAAAGAGTGAAATAATATGTTAAAAATCAGTGTAGTCTTAGTGCTTTTATATTTTTTTTGAGAAGATTGTTTTCTCATGATATTTCACATGCTTTTGTGGTTATTTTGTGGTCTTCTTTTTCATCTGCCCTAATATGAAGCTCCCTTACATTTTCCTCATTCTATAGATGCTCCAGGGAATATTCTGTTTCACAGCAGTGCATGTGCCTCCCTGGTGGTACTGTGGAAAAAATGCATTATGATTTCTTTGAAAAGTCCATGCATTTTAACATGTAATGAGGTCGAGGTGTTCTCACAGATACTTTTATGGTGTCATGTCCATGACCTGGTATTTCCTAGAAGGGAGAAGCAGGTAGTTAACCATTTTATTAGCTCTGCATGTGTATTACAATTAGTGTATTACCATCAGTCACCACATTATTAAAACAACCTGAACTGATCATTCAAACCTTTTATTTGTACATAAAAATATGACTGGAACACTTGTAGCTATCCTTCCCTACACATCCTCCTCAGGTCTCCTGGCAGGCAGCAGTGCCCTGGGTTTTGGCCCTTGGCTTAGAACTGTAGTATTTCTGGTCAGTTTATCTCACCTTTTCTTATGGTGCAACTCTAAAAGCTGGTTCAACCATTTTGCCATCATTGTTAGTTTGCTTAATTAATCCTTTAATCCTATTCATAGTTTCTGGTAGAGGGTGAGGTCCACATAATCCCTCTGGGAACATTTTTTTTTCCTTTTGTGATCTTGGCTGGTGTTTAGTCATTCCTGGGTGTTTGCTAGCCATAAATACATAGTGAATTTTTAGCTAAATACAGAGGCAGTAATTGAAGGACTTTTGACTTTGAATTTTACTTTTCTGTCAGTATGAGCTCAGCAAGTCATGCTGCATGGCTTTTTTGTTACTGGTCCCATAAACTGCCCACTTACATCTCCAGTTATAGGAGGGTACATACAACTTTTAATGAGGGCTTGGAAATTTCTTCACAGATAGGAAGCAAAATATCAGAACTAGAGGATTTTAGGAGATGCCATTTTTACATATCATGCTACTACTTTGCTGGCAGTAGATCCAGTTTAAGTAGAAGTTCCCAGCTCCTTAGAACATATATATGATTTTCTCTAACAGTGGCTGAATTCGGAATCTGAAGCTTGGCCTGCTTGCCAGGCGAGGTTGGAGGCCCTGAGCAGTGTTATCTTCTGCCAAGACAGTGGAAGCAGAGCTGACAGGAGCTCTCCTGACAGAACTGCTGGCCACCAGGACACGGACTGATGGTCTCTCTAAATATAGTCTTTTTTTCCAGGGAATGCATTCTGAAATTTCAAGCATCACTCTTTTTCCTTTTTCCAGCATGCTGGCCATTGGCAGTGTTATATTTAGTGCAATTTTGTTGCCTTGGCAAAGAATTCAAAAGTGTTTGCATGCCTCAGTGGACCAGTGATAGACTAATGATATGTAGCAACAGTAAATGTATTTTTCTGCACTGCAATCGTGTTTCATAGGTGTCATGCTAGAAAATGAGATCGCAGTTTGCATCCACTCTGGTAGTTCAGTTGTGGATATGCAGTTCCCAAGGGAGGCAGCTTGTATATACAGTGGAGAGAGCCCAGGCACAGCCTGGCAGTTTTAGCATCACCATTTTTCCCATTGAAGTTGTTCTTTTGCCTGGAAAAGTATCTTGAGCCATAACTGTGATTGTGGATTGCACATACTCTGAGTGCATGGGTGTGCTCCAAGCTGTGGACAGCTCATCTTCAGATGATCTGATTAAATGCCTTTGCAATGGTGCTGCACAAGTCTTGCACTTCTGAACAACTGGAGGTCTGGAGATGCCCCATTCAGCACAGAAATCTGAAGTCCTTCAGCTGAATACACCCTGAAATCAGCCTGAGTTTTCTGGGTAGCACTATAGGAGGAAAAGCACCAAAAAAACCCCAAACAAACAAACCAACCCAACAAAAAAAAGGCCACAAAATTTGTCTTGCCAAAAGCTATACATGTGCAGAAAGACTTTGTACATATGCCTGGTAGAGCGCATTCCCTGCCTGCAAAACTTATTAGAATGAACAGCTGGTTAACAGAGACATGTGTTTTTCCAACTAAGCTTTAATGCCAATTAAAACCAGCATTGGTTTATTAAGAACAAAACTGCCACTTTTTCTAGACAATTTTTGTAATTCTCTGGCATCAGGAGAACTGATGAGAAAAGACAGTAAATATATAAAGCTGGCAGGTTATGAAAATTAGGCAATGAAACATACTTTTCTAAAGCTATGAAGAATTATAGTCTCCAAACTATCTTAAGCACTCGATTTTGACCTACCTTTTTCTAATAGCTCTCTCAATTTTCTTAGAGTTGTTTTGCTTTTAAAAATATCTGAAAACTTGGTAGATGTTACCATCGTCTTGTAGAAAAGTTCTTCCTTAGAACACGAAAATCTTGAATGATACATTAAGTTCAGCTAATTTTTTTTCCATTTCAGATAATGGCTTATGAGTTTTTTAGTTTTAAAACTTAAGAAAATTTGAGCAAAAGAAAACCCTCAAAAATCTGGAACCATGGAGGCACATTGTTTGTGGCATAGAAAAGAATGTAAAATACTGATATAGTACGAATGGTTTCACACCAAAGTCTGCACTGACTGTCCAAAATCAGCAATTATTTCAATTCCCTTATCTGGGTTGAGATCCCTGGGCACCAGACAAACGGTCTGACTGAGGTACTGAGGCTGAATTTTCCACATATGGGGAAAGACTTCAACTTTTCCATTCCTATCTCATAGATCAAAAGAACCAACTGAACACCTATCCATGAAAATTTTTTGAGTTGCTGAGTTGTAGTATTGTAAAACTATCCCAGAGTGTACCACAATGAAATTTCCCTTTTTTTTTTTTTTAAATGAAGGAAAGAATTAATGTATGTGTGACACAGAGAAGCCCTGAAGGTCTCTGTTGTCCTCAGATAATGCTGGGGGGGGGGGGAATCAGGTACAGTTGGATGAATTTTGTTGTTAATTATCTAATCTTGTGGAAATATTAGTTCAACCAGATTAAACATCTGATTGACTTTATCAATCATATGACATTTCAGGCTAACCTTATAATATAACTGCTGAAGGTCTGCCATTGAAGGTGATGCATGGATTAAGGATGGGGATGTGTTCTGTTCATCTCTCAGGCTTAATCCTCAACCTTAAATGTGGACCACGTGATAATATTGCAGGGCATGTGACAAATCCACTGAAATCCTGCTGAGGATGTGGCAAAGTGAGTATCCCAGAGTGTTACCCAGGAACAACAGTCATGGGGGCACTTTGGGTTATGTTCTTCCATGTTTGTGGTTCAGGTCACAGGGATAACTGGAAAACTCCGCTGCAGAGGATGGAGCAAACACAGATCTAAGCACTGCCTACAGAAACACCTAGATACCGGGGGTGGGTGTGTGTAAGAATAACTGCTTAATTATAGAACAATAACAAACACATCTGCAGGGAAACACAGAATTCACTGCGGAGAAGTGTCACTGCGATATAATCTACATAAGTTAATTGCTAGGTAATATTTTATATTATGCAAATAACTGAACAAAATACAAACACGCTGTAGCCTTTTAACGAGGAGTTAAAGGCCTATGACACCTCAGAGTAAATTCTGACAAACAATATTTAGAATTGATTATGTCTCTATGCTGTATTTTTTCAAATAGTTTCTATTCTTAGGAAAATTTCAAAGGAACTGCAGTCTTTGTCCTCTGACATCTAGTTTTCAGAAGCCTGCATGTAGCTTTCTGCATGGCCAACCCCAAGTGTGCAAGACCTGTGATTATTCAGGTAAGCTCTTACATATGTTGATTTTCAAATATTTTAGTGATAAGTTGTTTGATTTTCTGCATTTTCCTTATTTTTTTTCATTTTTTTCCCTCTGGTACAATTATCTTCTCCACTATACTTATACTGTATCCCAACCACAGCGATTATATGTTCTGATAGACATAGCTCCTCTGGGAGTATGCAACATTTCCACCAGTTTAAGCTTCTGGATGCCTCTCAGATATCACTAGAACAACATATGGAAATCATACTACAACTAGCTATATTTTTTTGATATGAATGTGTAAAGAGAATGTGTTCTGTTTGAAACTTGAGGCGAGGGAGGTAAGGAAAACAGAATATAATAAAATATAGGGAAAGACACTTAGCAAAAACCCTTATGATCTGGCTTCTAAGCTTCCCTGTTCTAATTCAGCAACTATTTTTTTTACATACAGCAAATCCTTTCACTGGGTATTTCTTGTTCTTTAATGACTTCACTCCAGGGTTGCATGGGTCGATAGGAATGCATTCTCCAGAAATCCGTTAACATGGTTCTTGACTGAATGCAGTCCAGGCATGTTAATCACCATTATTCTTCACGAATGTCAGACTATTCAAGTTTTCTATATGTGAATTTCATGTCTAAGAATTGATGGGTTCCTTATTTATACACAGGACTGGGTACCTTGCTGA